TTCGAACGAGAAGAATTCAAATTCGAGCGCATCGCTGTTTTTTTTTGAAAGGATGTTGTTGTTTGCCCGGGCAATTTGCACGCGTTCGACGTGTGTCGAACGACGAGAGAGGAACCGAGGCGGAGCAAGCTGTCTCCAAAGAGAGACAGGAATCCTTTTCAGCATCGTCGTCAAACGACGACACCATTCGCAGCGTTTCACACCGTTCGCAGCGGCCATTTTCGAGCATCCATGATACAGCGCATCCTCCTCCTCCTTTTTCTCCTCCTCTTTTCTCTCTTCTCTCGTCAAGTACCTGTCGTCGTGACACAACTAACCACAATGCACGCACGAATTATCGTTCAAGATCGACACGCGACAGCCGAGAAGTCCGAGAGATTTTTCTTAACTCTTTTAACTCCTCTCTTTTCTGGCAACTTGCTACTTTCAGTTTTATTGTTCGTTTGTTCTTTTATTCTTCCCTTCTTTTCTTCCAGACACGAAGCGCCATTGAAGTTTCTCTTTGAAAATCGACGGTAACGTAACGGATCTACGTAAACGGCAATGTTTCAACAACTTACTATACGCTAATATCGTGCTATTGTTGCGTACGTTGACCCATGACGGCGCAACACGGCCGTCGGATGGTAGAAAAACTCCGATAACAGGATTGGACTTGGACCCTGTAAACTAACATTGGAACTGAAGCGTTCGCAGCTTTTACACGGCTCGAAAAATTCCATCTGCCGACCGGACGTTCCTCGTCCTCTCCAACCAATTTCAATTCCAATTCCACGAAAGCCCGGCCCGCAATTCCCGCCAACACATACCCTCCCCCCATCATATAACCTACCACGCACACACTGACTTTGACTGATCGCTGTATCGTCGTTCCAGAGAAGAAACAAATGAAGAAAAATGAAGAATTATCAAACCATCTCGGTCCAAAGAAGAAAAGAAAAAAAAACAATACATCTACCCACGCCGCTCGTGTTCTTCATTTTAGCACGTATCTACCATTCGCACAATATTCCTGTCTGTCTGTCTGTCTGTCTGTTCGGAGCACTGTGATCGCTCGAAATTCCCCCCCCCCCCCCAACGAGTGCAACGAATGTTTCCTATTTTTGTATTTTTTTTCCATCTATTTTACACAGGTGTGTACACAGGTACATAATTTTCGGAACAATTCGGGGAAGGGATGGACCGCGTCGTCGTCGCGTCGTCGTCGCGTCGTCGTCGCGCCATGTCGAAAAACTAAAATCTCGTTTGGCCGATTGGCAAACGCAATGACAATAACAGTTGTTAACGCGTACATCGCGTTATCGTCAACGAAGTAACAGAATTATCACTCTGATATCCAACGTATATACATGCCCCACGATCGCCTCCGGTTTCCAGTGACTCGTAGACTACCGCGGCCCGTTGTTAACCGATTCTTCCCGACGCTCTCGAAAACTCGCATAGTTTGTCTCCTCGAGAAACTTTTCATTATCCGCTATCTACTCTCCTTCCTCCTCTCGTTTTCGCTCGTTGCCGCCACGTAGGCAATTACTACTTGCGCGTAAGTATTACTTGTACACGTAGATGCGGATGCGACGCGGTCGTCACCCGCATCTTTCCATCCAATGATACATATCCAAACGGCGCCGCCAACTTTTTCCTTCAATCGTTTAGCGTCGACCGCCGACTCGCTAAATCCAAACGCGAATAAATCATCGAATCAGCTCGCTCACCGTACTCGTTCTGCCATCCATGTCTTGCCATTTCTTCGCGGATTTCGTCATCGGTCATTTTTCTACTCTTCGTCATCCCTCTCCCGTCTTCCTTGCTCCGCCGATCCTCTCGTCCAGCTATGCTTTCGCACCAAGATTCCACTCAGCTTCCTTTGCCACACACACACACACACACAC